GGTGGTCGCGCCGTCGCGTGTGGTCACCGCGATGGGTGTGCCTCTCAGTGGGCAACCCGTGAGCCGTCGCCCACTCCTGCTACGTAGAGTGGAAAAGGCAGCGAAGCGTTGCCCCCAGTGGTTGGACCATGCGCCCGTATCCACAATGACGCCAAGCTGGCCACCTGGAAGGTCGGTGCTCGCAGGATAGTCGGGCGAGTCGGTCGGTGGGCTCGGGCCCGTTCCTCGCAGGGTAGGCCTCCGCGGGAACGTCGGTCGCTACGGTGGAGTATGCAAGTCCAGGTATGTGCCGCATGGTCCTGCCACGTCGTCAGCTGACGCAAAACTGGAAGCGAAGCCAGAGAACTGCATGCGCTCCTGCCGTGGTGTCCCGGGTGTCGGCGCGAGCCTCGGAGTCTGCGGGGTGTCCTGCTGTGGTGGTGTCTCCGCAGGCGCGCTGATGTCTGGCGTCGGCCGGGCCGGCGCCGCGGGTGCAGAACCCGGAGTGCGGGTCTGCAGCGCGGGCCTGTAACGCAATTGCTGGGCCCGCTGTGACGCGATCTGCACCGATGAAGCGGAAATCGGCAGCGACGTCAGCCAGGCCACGGCGCGCCAGGCAGTGCACCAGGTGGGTTGTCGGTTTTCTGCACGAGCTGTAGGTGGCATGCCTGGTGCGGGATGTGGCGGCGCTGTAGGCGTGCAGCTCGATCGCCGTGTACGAAGGCCTCGATGCAGATAGGGCGCTATTGGTCGTCGCTGTTGAAGACAGTGACGTGGACTACAGCTGGTGCTGTAGCTGGCGCGGGGGGTGGATTAGTCAGGGTTTTGGTCCAATTTTGTGCCGTTCGTCGTCGCTGCTCGTCCTGTTGCTGTTAGAGCTCAAGGGCGAGCTGGGTGCTGCGGAGCTCGTCGAAATGTCGTCGTTGTGCGTGGTCGAGTGTGGGGCCTACTCCGCGCTCGATCCGCGTGGCGTGCTGATGCCGAGCGTTGAGACTGAGGGCATGTAAATCCAGCTCAGCAACTGCACATCGGCAGGCGGGGTATCTGGCGCAACGGCTCGGGCATTGACGTCGCCTGTCCAATCGCGCACTCGCTGCGGGTCCAGCGGGAAAGCGCCGGCCACTCCAGTCCAGCGCTGTGGTGTCAGTGCTGGTGGTCCTCCTTATGATGCTGGAGCTGCGGGCGCCGTAGCTGCTTCGTTCCCTACTCCTGCCGAGCGGACTGGCAACGCAGTCGCCCTGTCCGTCGGTTGAGCAGAATCCTGTCGCACGCGGCCTACGGGGTCGTTCATGTTCTGGCGTAGTCGTCGGTGTTCGGCCTCGTGAGGCCTGGGCGAAGCCGACGAGGGCGATGAAGTGCCTGCCCAGCTCGATCAATGGCTCTGGCCAACTGCCTGCCAGGAGCTGTCGGACGCAGCACTGGGAGCTGCCGCTGCTGGCCCTGGCCGCGTAGCAGCCGAAGTGGGAGTCGGTTGGCCGCCTTGCCACGGACCGGCGCTCTGCATCGGGTCACCGTTGTCGGGTCCCAGAACCGCAAATTCGGGCATCCCGAAGGTTTCCCTGGTCATCCAGACCGAGAAGGCACCTGGTGCTGCTTGTTGAGCTGCTAGTCCAGGCGCTACGTGGTGCCCCAGGTGCGTGAGTGGCGAGGTTGCCGGTGTCGGCGGCAGTGGTGCTGCGGCGGCTGGGGTGTTGAGGAAGAAGGTGGGCCCCTGTCGGTGCCGGCCAGAAAGCGCGAAGGCATTCTCCGTGGCTCTTGCCCTGGCGTTTGATGACCCTCCATGCGCGGCGCGCGGGCGTGTTGTTATTGGAGCGGCGCCATCGGGACTTGGCGCGCTCGTAGTGCGCCGCGCTGTTTTATGGGAGCGTCGCGAAGTTCGGGGCCGTCGGCAGCGATATTTTCGCCGAGTGAGCAGATGGTGCCCGGATCGGTACCAGAGTCGAAACCTGCGGCTGGATGCGCCGCCCGTGGTGCTGCGGTGCCTGCGTTGGCGGCGGCTGGTGCTGCAGCCGGACTCGGTGCCTCTCCGGGGGCTGAAGGGCCTATGGCGTCCCTGCTCGATCTGGCCCCCGTGCCATGGGCGCTCGGATCCTGGTCGTGCGCGGGCGCACCTGTGAGGGGCGTTAGGTGTTGAGGCGAACGCGCGGCCGAAGCGAGATTGCCTGGCGAGCCTTCGACCATGTGTCCAAGCCAGCCGAGCTCGCCCATCACGCGCGCCAGCTGTGGTGCGTCCGTCGGGCAGGCCATGTCGCAGTGCTGCGGGGTCATGGCGAGCTGGGCGTTCGCCGCGCCCGCCGCGCGCAGCAAGAAGAAGCTCAGGCCCTCGCGGCGGATCATGCGTTGCCCCGCCTGCTGCGCCCTGTTGCGGAGGATGTCAAACCTGGTGGCGGGGTTGTCGATGCGCTCCTGCGGCAAACGGTTGAATTTCATCAGAGCCGATGCCGCCTTCGCGCGTCCCCCCTCTCCGCGCAGGCCTCGTCGTTCGGCCGAGCTGTTCGCGCGGTGGATCATGGGCGGCGCTGGGTTGCCGTTGGTATGGCCACCTTGGATGGGGGCAGCTGGCGGCCATTCGTCCGCGTACTTGCGGGCCATGCTGGTCAAGCGAGACGAGACGAGGGCCGCTGGGCGAAACTTGTTGAGGTCTGAGTTCGGCGCTGGCCAGATCATCACCTCCCGCGCCCAGCGTTGGAAGGGCGCGCGAGCTTGCTGCTTGGCCCCCCCCCAGGTGCGGAGGCGTCGCGTGCTGCGACTGGCACCGCCGCCTGCGTCCATGCAAGCGATGCAGCTGGGGGCAACGACCATGCCCACTCCGGTGGCCTTCCATCCAGAATGGATCCACCTTCAGGTGGCGAGGAGGCGCGGCAGTACTGGTGCCCGCCAACGGCGGTGCTCTGGTAATAATCCTCGAAGCCGTCGTGGGTACCTGTCCCTGATGTGCTCTTCCTCATTGCCGCATTGGGTCTTCTCTTTTGGTATAATGGCGGGAGAGATTGTCGTGCGTCGTAGCGTCACTGTACTGCGCACTGCCAACTGTGCGATCGTCGTCCAGAAGAGGGTGCGTAGGGATTCAAGTCTGCCAGGAAGCAGGGCGTGCGAGGGTAACAATACGGGTCATTCCCAGGAGAACCGATAGCGAGTAGTCCCAAACTTGTGTAGCGTCCTCTAGAAGGATGTCATCACAATTGCCTGACACTCCACTGTGTTCCCGCTCTTGCCTGCACGCGCTTCCCGCGGCTTCCGCAACGCAGTTGCGGATAACACTGCCGACGCCGACGATGTGAGCGTCGGATCGAACGACTGCTTGACGTTGTCGGCCACACCCACATGCGGATGCAATGAGGGCGGTGCGTGCTTTTACTGTTCCCCCCCGGGCCTCCACAACGCAATTGCGCATTGCTCGCGGCCCTGTGCCGACACCGTGGGTTTGGAAGTCAGATCGCTCGACGGTCTGACGCTGACGGCGGCACTTACAGGCGAGTGCTGTGACGACGATGGCCCCCGAGAGTCTCGAACATAGTTCGAAAGTGCCCAAGGGGGGGAGGCGGGGGCGCGGGGCGCGCCGTCCTTCTGGTGGATGTCCTTGTAGATGTACTCGTGCTCCTGCCCCGTCGCGGTTCCTAGCGGGTGGGCGGCTGGTGCCCCGATAATCCCGACAGAGCTGTCCCCGGCCTCGAGGATCGGATGGAAGTGCACGGCGGCGAACGCGCTGCAGAGCGCGCGGCGCCATCTAAAGCGTGCAGAGCGGGTAGAACGGTCGCCGCCGGCACGGAGGGCAGCCTCGCGGGCCATGGCGGCGGGCGTGGTGGTGGAGCAAGATGCTCCGCTACCAAGTAGAATGTGAAACGGTGGAAACATGCGGACGATTTCTATATAGCAGAGTCTAAGAGCAGTGTGTTAAAGGGGCGTGGTAGGTGGCCACCCCGAGCCAAACGCCCATGGTGAACCGACACTGCTACCCTGCTGACGTGCTCAAGGAAGTGGTGACCTACCGTTCGTGTGAGAGGAGGAAAAGAAAGAGGAGGAGGAGGAGGAGGAGGAGGAAGAGGAGGAGGAGGAGGAGGAGGGGGAGGAGGACAAAGGGGAGGCTTCGGAGTGCTCTGATGGCTTCCAGCGATTGCCAGAGGCTCAGGGTTGCCCTGGTGCGCAGTGGTGTTCTGGAACCTCTTCCTCCTGCTGCTCGTCCATTGGAACCACCTTGAATCCCTCTTGGGGCAGCCTTGGAGCCCTTGTTCGGAAGCGTCGTGGAGCTCGTGGGTCATCTTGGTGCTGTCCTGCGCCGTTTTGGGCCCCTTTGGGCTTCTCCAGCAGCCCTCTCTGTGGACCCTTGTGGGCAATCCTGGGCCATCTTGGCCGGGACCCTTTTCTGGTATTTTAGGCGCTCTTTTGGTGCTCTCTCGCTTCGCGGGGGCTATACTCAAGCGGAGAAGTGCGGGATCCCACCGAATCGCAAAGATTTGAACGTTTCCAGTCTTGTTCCGCTGACTTTGGTGGTCAGGGGGTCCTCTTTTTCGGGTCCCTTTTGGGGCTGTCATGGGGTCATCTTGGAACCTCATGCAGTTTGGCACTTAGGCCGTCTTGGGATTTCTTGGGGCGATTAAGGGAGGCTCCAGGGAGGCTCTGGGAAGAGATGAAGCCTTTGCGTAGATCTGGGTGCCCCTGTGGCGTAACCCGCGGGACCCTGGGGCCAAGTTTCGCACGCATGAGCGAGGTCGTCGTGTTGAGCGGATGCCGCCACTCACGCCTGCGCATATTCAGCACGACGACGAAAGGATGATAATGATGATGATGCTGATGCTGATGCTGATGATGATGACGATGACGATGACGATGATGATGATGCTGCTGATGATGATGATGATGATGATGATGATGATGATGATGATGATGACGATGACGATGACGATGACGATGATGATGATGATGATGATGATGATGATGATGATGATGATGATGATGATGGTGGTTGTGGTGGTGGTGATGATGGTGAAACTATGGTGATAGCGATGATTCGCGCCATCATGGGTGATGGTGGTGATGACGGTGATGGCGGTGGCGGTGGCGATGATGACGCACGGCGAAGCACAACGCACAGTCACCCGGCCGCGCCCGCGGGGGCCACCCAGCTGGCACCGCAGTGGGACGCTGCAGGGCGGCCAGGTAATGGCAAGAGCGCGACCGAACGGTCGCCTCCCTCAGCGCCCAGGCGGTCTTCGAGGAAGTCTCGCCAGAGCCGTTCCAGACAGTGGCACCACGCTGTGGTCGTCGGCTTCCCCGCGACAGCAGCGGCGGTGCTCGCAGCTGGTGCCCTCTGCCCGTCGCGTCCGGGCTCTGTCGCCAGGAGCGACGGCGTCGCCGTCGTTCTAAGCTTGTGTCTGGCGTGCGGGCAGGCCTGACAGACGCCTGCAGGGGGGCCAACGGCTTGTACCGAAACGGCCTCAGCTGGTGCAACAAGGACCACTTGGAGGAGGAGGGATACCAGGCAGACCAGCGAGGCAACGAGTCGAGAGAGGGGAGTGACGGGGGCATGGGGGAAGCAACAGGAGGCATGCAGCTAAGCTACATTACGGGGCGACACTGCGCAGCAAGGGAAGGTTAATGACTTCGCCTATTTGGCCTTATCCAGAGCTGCAGGCTTCTCGTATCGCACCGCCTCCCTGCGCAAAATCTCCGCGATCGGACCCAGCAGCCGCTTGAAGGTCTGCCGGTCCAGCGAGAGGAGCTTGGTCTCCTCGGAAGAGTACACGCTGGCCGCGCGAGGCTGGTTCTTGATGAGAGCGAGCTCTCCGAAGTAGTCGCCGACCTTGTGAACCATCATGGTCTGCTCGGGCTGCCCCGGGACCAAACTCTGCTTCGCCACGCACTCGCCATCCAGAACGATGTAAAATTTGTCGCCGACGTCGCCCTGCTGTATGACCTGGGAATCCTTCTTCTTCGTCTCAACCCTCAACGCGTCGGCTATCGTCATCATCTCGTACATGTCTATGTTGGCAAACAAGGGGACCTTTTTCAAGAATTCAGTGTATGTGTCCCGCTTCTTCGACGCGGCGTCCTTTACAATATAATTGAACGTCTCCCGATCCAGCAACCATAACGTGCCGTCTTCTTTGGCGACCACGCTGGCTGCTCGGGCGCAGTTGTAAAGCAAGGCCAGCTCGCCGAACACCTCGCCGCTGCCACAAGTCTTGACGACCTTCTCATCGTCCCCCATCTTCTTCAGGCAATCCACCGCGCCCGTCTCGAGCATGTACATGCACTCTCCGTCGTCGCCCTGCTGGATAACACGTTCGCCAGCCGTGACCTTCTTCTCCTTAAAGGCGAGTGTCAGCGTGTTTAAATCCTGCTTGTCCAGGCCGTTGAATAAGAAAGAACTCTCCAGACAAGTCTCGATCCGCGTCTTCTGCTCCGCGGTCTTATCGTACACTGGGGCGACGAAATCAAGGCTCTTCTGATTCCACATGCCATACGCCTCGGCGGAGACGCTCTGCCGGGGCCCCCGGTTCATCTTCAGGGGTTCCGGGATCTCGTCTGGCCCTTCGTCGTCTTCCTCGTCCTCGTCCTCGTCCTCCTCGTCGACCGCCTTCGCGGGCTCGTCGGGCTTGCTCTCGGACGGCTGGGCATCTGTCCTCGAGTCGGTGCTGCTGCTGGCCTTCTTGGCCTCCAGCTGGGCCTTGCGCTCCTTGAGCTTCTCGATCTCCGTCCTGAGCTCTGCAACCTCGTCCGTCGTCGCAGAGCCGCTCCGCTGCCCCTCGAGGAGAAACTTGAGCATGAAGAAATCGGGCTCCTCCGGGCCCAGAACTAGAGGCCTCCTAGCTGGGGTCCGAGTAGATAGGGTCGGAGGATTGCACCGCATCGCCAATGCATCGGCGATGCATCGGCGACGTCGGCGATACATCGCCGACGTCGGCGTAGGTAACCACGGGCTCCACATCCAGCCGCATCGTCGGTGCATCGGCGATGCGGCGCGATCCACCGACCTCGTCTACTCGGACCTCATCCAGGGAGGCCTAAAATCATGACGCAGGCCTCGACTCCACACTTGGGACCACCTTCTCGCCGCGGGCCGTGTTACTTGATCGCCCCGGGGCTTTTTTGGTAGGTGGATCTCTCAAGCTCTCCGCCGCCTCGGGCGGTGTGCGTTACGAGCAGGAACGCAGTAAAGGCACAGGAAAGCGCGGCATTGACAGTGTAGCTCCGCACACTTGACACATGTTAACGAGCAGGAGCACAGCAAAGCCCCAGGAGAGCGAGGCACTGACAGTGTAGCTCAACATTGACACGCTGGTGGCTGGGGAGCCCCCGCGACATGTCCACGAGCGAAGACTCGTCGGTCGTGCTGCTTTTTCCTCTCCGGGAGGCCTTGGCCTCACGGGGCCCAAGAAGGGCCAGATGCGTCACGCTCGAGAGGCTCGATCCACGATCCGCGATCCTCGCTCAAAGCGGCCTCTGGAGGCCCAAACTGCAAAAACAAATAATCCGTCTTGTTTTCTGTTCCCCCCTCTCCTACCGTTTCTGTTTTCTGTGGTGTTTGCCAGAATCGCTTGTTTACCGCGACGCCCAGAAAGTCGGGGTCCTCCGGGCGCTCCAGAAGCACCGCCGTCACTAGGGCCTCCAGGATCGGGTTCACCTTCTCCTGCAGGTACATGAGGTGCTCCTGCTTTGGCGGCGCGGGCAGGCGGGGCAATGCAGTGTGAGGGGGGCGGTCTCCTGAAATGAGGGAAGAACACACGGCATAATCATAAAACTCTTGGCGCTTCGCGCGGCTGTCTTGAGTCGGCGCTTCAAATGCGCTCCGAACAAATCTGAAGGGGCCCTGGGACACACACACACATAGATAGACACAAGCAGCAGGATCCCCCATGTTTCCATATATGTTTTCTGGGTGTTGTCTCCCCCCCACACTTCCCATACTCCAGATTTCGTAATAAAGGGAGGGGGGTCTCATTTCGGGGGGGGGTCTCTTCCAGGCTATCTTGGAGGGCCTGGGGGGGTCTGGGGACGATGTTTGGGAGGGTTCTCCCACGGGGGAGGTCTGAAATGGCTTGTCTTGGAGGGTCCAGACCCCCTCCCTTTTATTACGACATCTGGAGTGCATGGCTGCAGTAGGGGCCCGACCCAAGACACCCTCCACAAGAAACCCAACCCTGAGACCCCAGGACGTCCATGGATATTCGGTGTGGGGACGCCACGATTTCCACAGCAGAGCATCGAAACCCAAGAAACCCATGGCAGCCTGGAGGCAAAGCAGGGTGCTTCTTGGTACGGGTCTCCACTGTACCCTCACAAGGTGGAACAACGCGAGGCCACGCGCAGGCTGCGCACGCGAAAGGCGGGGCGCACCGAGTTGCACGAGGGCCGAGCGCTGGAGAGACGCACGAGCACACGTGCATCCAGCTCTCGCCCAGGCTGGCCGCCCCCCGGTGCATCCAGAGCTTCCTGGAAGACGCAGGACGACGCCGACGCCGATCGCCAGGGAAGACGCAGACGCAGACGATCCTCCTCCTCCTCCTCCTCCCTCCTCCTCCCTCCTCCTCCCTCCTCCTCCTCCTCCTCCTCCTCCTCCTCCTCCTCCGTCCTCCTCCTCCTCCTCCTCCTCCTCCTCCTCCTCCTCCTCCTCCTCCATCCTCACCCACTCACTCATGGCGGTCGAGGGTGCTCCTGTAGCCATGCACATCTTTCCTGCCCCTCCACCTGGCAAGGACCTGGGTGGGAGGGGGGGCCTCCACCTCCTCCTCTCCTCCTCTCCTCCTCTCTGTCCTCTCTCCTCCTCCTCCTCCCTCCTCCTCCCTCTCTCCTCCTCCTCCTCCTCCCTCCTCCCTCCCTCCCTCCTCCTCCTCCTCCTCCTCCTCCTCCTCTCTCCTCCTCCTCCTCCTCCTCCTCCTCCTCCTCCTCCTCCTCCCTCCTTCGACCACGCGCAGGAGTGACCCTATGCAAGCGCGACCCCTGGTGCGCGGCTTTCGGGGGCCGCGGGCAGGCCGCACCCCATCGCTCGGACCGGGCGCCGGGGGGACCCCGGAAGCGCCCGCGCCAGAGGTCGCCTCGGGTAAAGGTCCCCAGACATGCGACGTCCTGATTTTGTTGAGTCGGGCAGGTCCTCCTACGGGGGGATCTTGGGCGAAAGTATTAAACAAGTCGTCAAAAATGCTCCAAACTGGCAAGCAAATAGTCAAAAACTCGTCCCCGGGGTATTTTTTTGAGAAATTTTGAGTGTTCCTCCTGTAGAGGGACAGGCCCGACTGAACCCTTTCTCCCCGGGACCGGTGTTCCATCCTGCATCGTTTTAGGACGGCCCCGCGGCCCGGCCAGGGCCCCCTGGAGGCCGACCACGGCCCAAAACCTCCCATCTGGACTTTTTTGCACGACGCGATCATGTCTGGGCCACTCTTGCGTGCCGCCGAACTCGGCGGCGCGCACAAGGGGGTGGGGGGGGGGAGGGCTCCTCAGAAGCAGGCTGCTCCTCAGAAGCCGGCCTCTACGTCTGTGGAGAAGGCCGCGCCTTCTGAGAAGCAGGGGTGCTTCCAAGAACCCCCCCCCCCCCCCCTGCGCGCGGCCGACGAACGACGACAACGACGGCACGCCGCCTGCCTGCGCTGAGCGGCTCGGGAAGGCCGCGCCCGCCGCCGAGCCCACGGCCGAGCCGGCCGTGCCGGCCATGCTGGCGGCGGCCTCGGCCCCGCGCCGCCGAGGACCGCGGCCTCTGGGCCTGCGGGACACGGCCACGGGAGGCGGCCGGCGGTGGAGCGCGGACTCGGCGCGCCCGTGGGCGGGCGGCGTCCTGCCGCGCTGCTCGCCAGAGACCCCCTCGCGCCATGGAAAGAGAGTCACGTCGTTTTGTTCCTGCTTTGGTGACCTGTCGCGACTCTCGTCCTCTATTGGTAGTCTGCTCTGGTGGTTCTCGTCCTCGTGATTTGTCTGCTTTGGTGATCTGTCGCTATTCTCGCCCTCTGGGGCCCTCGCTGGGCCCCGGGACCGCCATAAGACGACTCGGGCTGTAAGACCGGTCCCGGGGCATGGGTCGAAACCTCTGGGGGTCGACGCTACGGAAAGATCATGACGCCAGGGGTCGGGCGGGTGGTCATGGGAGGTGACCCACATTGGGGGTGCGGAAAACTGCCCTGAATGGGGCCCCTCCTCCTCCTCCTCCTCCTCCTCCTCCTCCTCCTCCTCCTCCTCCTCCTCCTCCTCCTCCTCCTCTTTCTCCCCCCCCCATTCAGGTCAGCCCCCATGGCCTTCCGCCCGAGGGGGTCTGGATGCGGCCCCGCTGCCAGAGGCCGCCCTGCGGCAGCCGAAGAAGGCTCTGGGGGTTCTCGTTGCAATCCCTTGCCGCGAATGCCCTGGCCAGATTCCGCGCTCCAGGAGCTGGCGACTGTTCCGATGACGGCAATGACCACAGCGATGACGTGAATGCGAAGGACGGTGATGGTGACGATGAAGATGGCAATAGTGAGGATGATGGTGATGGTGGTTATCAGTCGCAAAGATGGCGACGACGATGATGATGCGCAGGCCTCGGGATGCTGGTCAGGAGGGATCCTCGCCCGCAGCGGGCGCGCACCGCGCACAAAGGGCTGGCCTCGGCAGCGCCAAGGCCCGTGCCGCGCTCTTAGCGCCAGCATGCGTCTCTGGCGTCAGGTCGGACATGCCCTCCTGCAGGCTGATTTTGGACGAAAGGTGTAAACTAGTCAAAACATTCTCCACAATATTTCACAACAAGCAAAACATCGTCCCAAGACTATTTTTTGACTATTTTTGAATAGCCCTCCTGTGCAGGGACAGGCCCGACTTAAACGCTGGTGTCGATGATGTCTGCAGCCTCTGCTGCATCGACGGCAGGAGATGGCAGCTGCGCCGCGCGACCGCTGCCAGGCATGCAGAGAGCGGCTCACGTGATGGGGCCTCGGCAGCACCCTGGGCATCGCTCGGACGTCCATTCCCTGTGCTCTTTTTCGGTTTCGTGCGTGTTTTTTTCGCCAAATGATCAAGGATGCTCCTCGATGGTCTTCGCCGGAGGAAAAATGCACACGTCCGAGCGATGCCAAGCACCACGCCCGCGGCCACGAAACGCACGCGTGCGAGCAGGGCACAGCGCGCGCGGGCTCCACCCGAGAGCCCCAGCGCCACCCCGACCCCAGCGCATGGGGCGATCGCGGCACGCAGGTGGTGAGCAGAAGGAGAGCACCCTCTGCGAGCCCGGCCGCGCACGCCGGGGCGGCGCACAGGCAGTAGCAGGCAGCAGGCTGCCCGAGGAGGGGGACCACGCTTAGACTTTTTTGGGGGGGTAACATGTGTTCGTTTTTAGGGTCGGCGTTTCATAATTTCTTCGATGTGTGGGCCGATTGTTCTCCATTGTGTCGTTCTCGTTCGCGCCGCCCTCGGCTCGGTCTCGTCTTGTGCAGCTGTTCTTTTCTTTTTTTTTCCGGGGGGGGGGGGGGGCAAACGGTTTGTGTGGTTGGCGGAGCACCGAACAGCGGAACACAGAAAGGACAGCCACTGCTTGCACCACTCACCAAGGATCGCGCCCCTCCCGCCGCACCCACCCAGAAGCCCCCCGCGCCGCCGAGGGCCGCGCACTGCAGGAGCCCGGCCCGCGCGCGGGGCGGGCGCGCCTCAGCTCTGGCAGCGCGCGGGGGCGGCGCGGGTCCGAGTGCACGGGGCCCAGTCGTCACAAGGGGGGAGGGGGGATGGGGGGCGCGGAGGGTGCAGCGGGGGAGGAGGGGGAGAAGGAGGAGGGACGAGGGGGGGAGGACGGGGCGGATGCAGGGGGAGGACGGTGGAGGAGGGACAGGATGGGGAGGGAGGAGGAGGAAGAGGATCACAGTGATCGTGCTACCAGCAGGGACCTTGAATAAGGAACGCATGGGTTTTCCTCGCTGCGGCGAGCACCAGCCACGAGTTCATTTGCGAAAATCAACAGAACGGCCCGAAAGCACGGGCCCCTCATGAACCAGCAAAATTGTCCTTGCGAGCCTAGCGCGACCCACAACAGGGGAACACTCCCCAAGTTAGCAACTATGCAAGGATGGCATGGCTTAGGATTGCTTTGCCTTGCGTCGCATTGGTTACTTTGCATGGCTTTGCATTGCATTGCTTGGCGTTGCTTGGCCTTGCTTGGCATCGACTGGCATTGATTTGCATTGCTTTGCATTGCTTCGCACTGCTTGCAAACGCTTAACATTCCATTGCTGTGCATTGCTTTGCATTACTTTGCTCTGTTTGGCATTGTCTGGCATTGGCTTTGCCTTACTTGGCATTCGTTGGTGTTGCTTTGCACCCTTTGGCGTTAATTGGCATTGCTTGGCATTGACTGGCATTGCTTTGAATTGTTTGGCGTTGCTTGTCATTGCGTGGCAGTGCTTGGCAATCCAGGGAAGGCAAAGCCCGAATGGGGAATGTTAGCGTCTCGACTGGAGGATAGGGATGATGGGGAGGAAAAACGATAAGGACCGAAGGGGGAAGAAGGTTGGAAGGAGAGAGCGATGGAGAGAGGAACACGTTACGCGATATTCGATATTACATCTTGTCACACCGCCAAGTGTCCGAGAGATCACCTCTCTCCAGTCCTGCTGCTGTCGGAGCCTTTGGATCAACGACGTCTGCGGCGCAACTGCTGGAGAATCAACTCGAACTTCATGCTCTGCAGCGGGATCATCGGCGAGTGCGCGAATTACTTCGCAATCCTCCGTATCGCAGATGGAGGCCTTGAGTTGCAAAAGCCTTGCTCAGCCAGCGCTCCGCCTCTGGGAGGAATGAGAGGGAGGACAGAGAGGAGAGGGGGAAACCACCGAGCCTGGAAATGCAGCCTGCTGTATCGCATTACGCGCAAATCCAATCACCTCCAACAGAGGCTCCGCGAATCTGTCTGCGATGATGCCTCACCATTCGGGCCGCCAGGGGTCGCCCGGTTCCTGGGCCCTACAATGCTATGCTGTGCTCCTGGCGGCCAGGGAAGCGCGAACGTGGAGCGAAAAGCCGCCAACCGAATTCCGGCCATGTGCGATCCAACGGGTCCTGAAGACCAGCGGAACCTGACAATAGCCCCGGGTTCGGGGAGCGGGCATCCCACCGGTGACCCACACGGTCGGGAACTCTTGCTCAGCGTGTCGCCGCGGCGGCCCCGGCGACATGCAATGCCCTGCGAGCGGAAAGCATGTCCCTCCGCTCCGCGGGAGGTTCGGGAAAACCTGGGACGTTGACGCATGGGGACGAAGAGGTGGTAATTAACGTCTTGCACCGAAGCATGGTGGTCCAGAGCCGGCGGAGAGACACGCTATCCAAAAGTTCCCGACCGTATAACGCTGAATAGAATCCGACCCCGCTTGTTTGGGCCATGTGTTATTCGCAACAAGAAAACAATTACTGGATTTAGGCTAGCCCGCTTGTCCATCAAGGGAGGAACAGCAATGGCGATTGGGCGCGCATGGGATTTCGAATGGTTTGGAGGGAACGAAAAAGAAAGCAGGAAGGAGAAGTGTGGGATGGAGGGGGGTAGGAGGACGGAGAAACGCTCGAGAGACGACGGACGTAAAAGGAGGGACGAGTAGGGGGTGGGACCGCGGTGCAAAAGATATCTTCGGCTTTTGGGAAAATATTGGATGGGCTCACAGACCAGTGGCTCGCAGTGGCGGCCCGTATCCTCGGTTTGACCCCTCCCCTCAGCAGCCGGGCGAGCTCCTTGCCGCCGAGAACCGAGAGTTGGGCCAACCCAGATCTTGGCATCTGTTCCCAACAAGTGGGTGCGGGCCAAACCGTGGTTTGAACTCTTATCGCCGTGTCGTTCATGACGGGGAAGGGCCCCGTGGAAGGACAGGTCCGGACCTGGGGAAAGCCAGGACACATTGTCCATCAAAGGTACTTTTCTGACCGTCTTGGGGCCTGGGAGCGGTCCCAGGAGGCAGGAGATGGCGAACAGCCTCCAGACTCATTTTGGGGGGCGGCAGTGACCTGGGGCAGCTGCCAGGAGAGGGGAGGAGCAGGAGGAGGAGGAGGGAGAGGAGGAGGAGGAGGAGGAGGAGGAGGAGGAGGAGGAGGAGGAGGAGGAGGAGGAGGACGAGGAGGAGGAGGAGGAGGAGGAGGAGGAGGAGGAGCGAACGTCCACTGGCGGACATCTGTTGCTGCTCTAAGGGCGGCGGGTGGGTGCACGGAGCGCCGCCCGCGGCTCGTCTATAATGTTGTGAGGCGGCTGGGGCGCGGAGGCAGAGCAGCGCGAGCCAGCGCCACCAGTGAGATCAGGCGGCAGCCTCAGAGCGTGGCGGGCGACCGTGAAGAAGTTCACGGTCTTGGAGTATGTCAGCAGGCCCTCGGACGCGGCCTCTTTGGACATGTGGTAGGCGCGGCGCGAGACCGCGAGGCGGGCGGCCGCGCTCCTGATGCCGTTCTCCCCGTCGTAGGACTGCTCCGCGCCGCCCAAGCCCAGGCGATGAAGTAGTTCTGGTGCCAGCTGCCCGCGTGGAAGTGCAGCATGGTGCATGAGGCGAGGGCAGCGGAGGTAGTGGTCGATGGCGTCCTTGTTGTCGCAGCCGAAGTGGCAGCCCCGCTTGGTGTGCAGCACGTGCATCCTGTATGAAGTCGTCCATCCGCCACTGAGGGTCTTCATCGCTGCCCACAGTCTGGCGGGCGGGAGCTCGGCCAGGTGAACCCTCAGCCGTAACCAGCGCTCCTTCAGGTCGGGGGGGAGGGCGTTCGCGCCAATGAGGTTGGGGTCGTCC